CGCAGCTTGCACTAATCATTGAGCGTTTGGACAGTCTTACAGCGGAGACCAAAGCTCTTAGGGAAGACTCGGTGAGCCAAAAAGATACTCTTGACAAGCTAGTTGCAGCTCAAGAGAAAGAACCTGCGTCTCCTGGAAAACAACAAGCAAAAAGTGACTCAATCCATGGTCCAGCGGTGAAGTTTACCACAGAGGATCTGTCTGAAGTCGAGTTCTTTAGCGGCACCAAGAAAAACAGAGGTGTTTCTTCTCACGCTGCAAAACCAGGAGGCGCCTGGCAGAATCAGTTTCAAGGTCAAGAACAGATACATCGACACACAGATGGTGGTGGTGATTGGCAGGTTAAGCCAATTGGAGTCGAATCTCCTCAGGGCTATTCTCAAAGTGATTTTCGTGCTCAAGAGAAACGCCAATGGACTGCAAAAGACGATGCCTGTGACGACGGAGACATCGAGAACGTCAAGCGTATTGTTCCAGCAATAAAGATGGAGTTTCCATCCTATGATGGAACAACTAATGCGATTGAATGGCTGCAAAAGTGTGAAGATTACTTTGAGGATCAACGAGTGTTTAGTGATGAAGCACGAGTTCGTCAAGCAACCTTTGTCTTAACAGGAAGAGCATACCACTGGTATCATAATCTCAGACGCTTGGTAACACAGAAGTTAAGCTGGTTTGAATTCAAAAAGATTTGCAAGAGCCGTTTTGGCAAAGCAGACTCAGTCAATCCCGTAGGAGAGTTGTCTAATCTGAGACACACAGGAACCGTAGATGATTACTGTAGTCAGTTTGAAGAGTGTCTTGGGCGACAAACAAAGCTGACAGGAGATCAACAACTCTGGCAATTTTGTGCAGGGTTGACTGATAGTTTAAGGAAGGAGGTTGAATACCTACGTCCAGAGACAATCTTTAAAGCAATGGAGTATGCACGGGATCATGAGTATAAGATTGATAACGACAGAAGAACTCGGACGTTTGGAGGACATCTAGCTCCAACAACTAGATCAATGATGGCCATGAACAACGGGAATGACACAGAAACGGTGATGCCTCAACAAGAAGCAAAAAAGGCACCACCGAGGAAATATTTGAAGAAGTTAACTGTGGAAGAAATGGCAGAGCGAAAAGCTAAAGGACTTTGCTTCAATTGTGATGAGCTCTTCACCCGAGATCATGTTTGTAATCCAATGCTTTTTCAGATAATGCCGGTCAGGGATGGAGACAATCAAGAAGATGAACCATTTGATGAAGAAAACTGGAAGGATGAATAAGGCTACTAGAAGCATTCCTAGAGTTGGAGCTTGAGGACAAGCTCCTAGTCGAGGAGGGGAGTAATGATACGATAATAATATCTATGAGTTCTTAGTGGTTTTGTTAGTTTTCCTTTTAATTAGGCTTAAGTTTTGGTATTTTTACTTATTCAGTTTTGTTTAGTCGGTTGTATGAGGATCTATAAAAGGATCCTCAAATCATCAATAAGAATTAACTTCCAAGAATTAACCTTAAAGCTCCAAAGAGAGTGTTTAGGGTTAAGAGGAAGCTTAGCTAAATACTCTCTCTTTCTCACGTTAAACAATAGATTATCAAGGTCGGATCACTAGATCTAGGGCTAAAGCTTTGGATCATATCACTCATCTATTTTGATTTCTCTCTTCTTTTACAGCTCTTGAAAGGTAACACCCATAAGCAGACAAACCGAGAGTTGGTAGTGGCTCCAGTATCAGCGTGAGAAAGATAGTAGCTACTTCTTTTGCAGTCACATGGCGTTGTAAGAGGTGACTCTTCTGGTGCAAAATGTTTACCGCTAAGCGGTTTAAAGCGTCCAGCTTCAATTTGTATTCTGCTCGTAGGATGAGTCATGATCAATAATTTTAAAGTCATTTTCCTATGCTATATAATCTTAAATATTAAAATCAATAAACACATTCATGTTAATAACTACCAGCTTATCTTTAACTACTTTACAAAGATATTTTCAGATATCCTTTTCAATGTTTTTAAAACCGGACCGGTGACCGAACCGTAAACTTTTTGGGTCATGGTTCGACCCGGTTTGACCTGGTTCGATAATAATTTAAGCATAATAATATCATATATATATATATATATATATATAAATTTATATAAGAATAATAGAATATCAAAATAACATAAGAGTAAGGAAAACAAATCAGTTATGACTTATGAGCAACACATAAGGATAAAGACACAAACAAGCCAACAATCAGAACAACGAATTCCTTTCAAAACAGAGTTCAGAGACTTGTTACCAAACAAAAGGCTCAAAACAGAGTATGAATTGAAAACCAAAGAATACTTCATCCCTTAAAACTAAAAGAGATTGCATCATTACAAAGAGTATCAAAACCAAAGATAACACCTAAATAAAATAGAGTAGCAGCACACTAGAGCATCCAATCTTCTTTGTCCAAATCTTCAACACCAAGAGTGGGTTCATCGTCATCTTTGGGATATTCCTCAAGAAGTTTATCTTCTAGCTCAGCAAGATCAAGTTCGCCTTCTTCTTCTTCTTCCACAATCCAAAACTCAGTTTTATCGATTGACTCATAATCCACAGGATCATATGATCTATTTTTTTGGACATACACATGCAAATAACGAAATATTTATCACAAGGTATGGATAAATATTTAGTTATAAAATTCAACACGGTGACCATTCATCTACAAGTAAAATGAGAAAAGAAAACAGACTTAAGCAATGAACATGCTCCAAACATTAGCATAAACATAACATTATAGCAAGATGACTTACCAGGTCGAGTAGTTTTGCTACAAGTAAGTGCTATCTCTCGAGAGAAACTACCCTCTCGTTCTCTATAGCATCGAATGCTAGACACCAACATCGATTCACTTAAACCAACAGTCTGCTTTTCAAACAGATTTAGCGTTCCTCTTTTAATCTCTGATTTCTGACAAAAGTTCTCCTTATCATACAAGAAGGCTGGATTCAAAAAATAAGCTGCAGCATAAATATCACGGCGCAACATCTTATCCCACCGACTATCAATGATCCTCGTGTAAGGCTTGTAGAGTCTTTTCTCCTTCTTAAATATCTTCTTGACGCCTAACCGTGCCCTATACATTCCTTCATATACATAAGGCAAAGATGGTTTCTCATCAGAATCGCAAATACGCAACAAACGGATCAAAGGAGCCATAATCTGGACAACCATAAAGCACTCTTTCCAAAAGTCATCATCAAAGATAAGTTGTTTCACAAGTTTTGCTTTTTCAGATCTTGAAATCTTTCTGAACTCCTCATCAACAACCATACTCTGCAAGTAATCTTTATGCGCATACAAGCTTTGTAAAGCTATGAAACTTGTAGCAAAACGAGTTTCTGCAGGACGAATTATCTCTCTCCAACCCGGCCTGTTTCTCAACCAGTTCAAGATATGCTTATGGGTATTCACAAAGATAGTTATCTTTGATGCATAGCTGGTTAATTTCTTGACCAGAGGTAGCTCTCCCACATCTTCTAGTATCAAATTAATACAGTGAGCTGCACATGGTGAGCAATATATGGTAGGATATCTTTCTGTAAGCCTACCACCAGCAGCTTTGTAGTTAGGTGCACTATCTGTCACCATATGGACTACATTTTGGGGGCCAATCATATCCACAACCTCAGCAAATAGGTTACACAAATTCTCTGCAGTTGTATATATTCCTGAAGCATCAACTGACTTGATGAAAGTTATCCCCTTAGGACAATAGACCAAAAAATTTATCAAAGGTCTTTGCCTAGTATCTTTCCATCCATCAGCCATCAGAGTACAACCAGTTTCAGCCCATGTACTCCTAAAAGATTCAATAATTAAAGAAACTTGCAGCTTGGCATCACGTAGTAAACCAACACGTAGAGCATGATACAAAGGCCCTTTGTAACCATGACCCATGCTTGCAATTTTGCTGATCATAGGCTGATAAAATCTAGAATTCACAGCATTCATGGGCATACATACATCATAGAAAAACAATGCAACTGCCATATCAGCATCATGAATCTTTTCCTTACTCTGCAAACATGATTTTATGGTTGGTTGTGACTGATCTTGTAAACCCTGCTTGAAGTAAGAGTTTATGTCGGTATTGGCCTTTCTTTTCTGACTTGGAGGCATAAAACCTTGACCAGAATCTTCGTCATCCTCTAAATCAACAAACTGTCTAGTATTATTCACTCTACTTTTCTCCTTTGCCCTATCATCATGTTCTTTCAGAGACATTCTCATTGCATGTTGAACTTCTGGAGGGACATTCTTGCATGCATTTGTATTCCCTTTCACTCCAGCCAAGTGTTGTTTCATTCTATTGATACCACCTCCTTGATTTTTCTTTTTACAAAAGTCACATGTAAGTGTACTTTTCCCATTCGAATCGAAAGTTTGAGAGACATGTGCCCATGCTGGATCATGCTTTTGACGAACAGAGCGTTGTGAGGGAAGCTGATTTTCTGTATTTGTACCTGCTGAATATGGAACTTCTGAATCATCTCCATCCATTGTTGAGTACACTGCAAAATAGTTTAAACAGAAAAAAAAGTAAATAATGAAACAAAAGCCAACGAATTGACAAGTAAATATTAAATCGACTCCAATAAAGTAAGTGCATGTGGTTTGATTAGGGAGTTATTGAATCTACTATCTATATGCTCATATATTATTATGCTCTGCAAATAAGTTCACGATCGTATGTGCTTCCACTTTTCATTAGCAATTATCATGATGAAACAAAATTATAGTATAACATAAGAGAGAACTATAGAAGTTAAATTCAGAAGCAATACCTTGAGGCTTGACTTATCCAGCGGCTGTGAGTTGCAGAAAAGAGACTTCAAAATGAGAAGAGAAACAGAAAAACCTAACATTGCGTAAACATCAATTTAGTGACTAAACCCTAAACCGGAGTCAATCCGGTTCTGTGGTTCGCCGGGTTCCGGTTTTTAGCCGGTCTAAAGCGGGTTGATCTACGGTTCAACTATCTCCGGTTTTCCATATCAACCCAACCCGGACTTGGTGCCGGTTCGTGGTCGAACCCGGTCGGACCACCGGTCCGGTCCGGGTTTAAAAACACTTCTACTACATTGGGGAAATTTCAAAACTACATCTTTTGAGATGAAACTCGGGAATCTCCACGTTGAACCTTAATTCCCAGTTTCGGTCACCTGTGTTTCCATCTTCCTCACGAAGATCTTCCTGAAGCTGACGACGTCGGTCCTTGCCTCCTGCAAAAGGGTTGTCGAGTGTTTCATCAGAATCAGAATCCAAACCTTGTGTTCTGCAACATCGTTTCAGCCAACTCTTGGATGGAATTAGTGATCGTAGCCTGGATATTCGCCTGCATATCCATAAGAGTACGACGAAGCTCTGCCCACTCATTGGTCGGTGCTTCGTTGGTATGTTGGGTGTTGCGCTTAGGAGCCATCTCTGAATCAAGGAAAAAAAAAACACGCCAAGAACGTGCTGTCTCTGGCTCTGATACCAAAACTGGCGTAGCGTAAGCGTAACGACTCGGTGTTCGTTGATTCAAACTGAATAGCCGAACAGAGAGTAGTTTGAAGCTCGTTGATTCACAAGGAATAGCCGAGAAACAAGAAAGATAGATGCTTGTAAAAGCTCTGAATAATTCAATAACAACTGTCTTTCACGTTACACAAGAGAGACTATAAATAATGAAAGCGACAAACGAAAACCCTAGACGTTTGTAAAAAGGAAATAACAAGAACATAGCTTAAAGCCCAAGCAAACGCTTAAGACTCATAATAACTAAAGAAAAGCCCAAAAAGAAAGATAAAGAAGATAGTAGTAGAGATGCGCTGCATCACAAAGGCATCAAATCCAAAGGAGAGATGGGTTTAAACCCATAAACAATTTCAAGTGGTGAAAACTTAGAAGCATAATGCACAGCATGGTTATATGCAAACTCAATATGCAGCAAACATTCATCCCAACTTTTAAGATTCTTTTTAATCAAGGCGCGCAACAAGGTTCCTAGAGTTCTATTAACAACTTCAGTTTGGCCATCAGTTTGAGGGTGACAAGTAGTAGAAAATAAAAGCTTAGTACCCAACTTAGACCACAAAGTTTTCCAAAAATAACTCAGGAACTTAGTGTCACGATCAGAAACAATGGTGCACGGCATGCCATGCAATCTAACAATTTCTTTAAAGAACAGAGCATCTATATGAGATGCATCATCAGTTTTTGACATGCAACAAAATGAGCCATTTTTTAGAACCTATCAACAATCACAAAGATGGAATCTTTTCCAGTTCTAGTCCTAGGTAAGCCAAACACAAAATCCATGGATATGTCAGTCCAAGGATGAGATGGGATAGGGAGAGGAGTATACAAACCGTGAGACTGAACCTAAGATTTGGATTGTTTACAAGTTGCACACCTAGAACATATCCTCTCCACGTCTCTGATCATGTGCGGCCAATCAAAATGATAACGCATGACTTGAAGTGTTTTGGCCACACCAAAGTGTCCCATCAGGCCTCCTCCATGCGCTTCCCTAACAAACAAATCTCTCAAGGAACAGTTAGGCACACATAGACGGTTCTCATAAAAGAGAAACCCATCTTGTCTAGAATATCGGCCAGAAGCAAACTTGAACAAGACTTGTAAATCTCAGCAAAATCAGAATCTGAATCATATAAGTCTTTATCTGTTCAAAGCCCAAGAGTTAGCATCAAGTGTTGAGAGAAGAGTGTACCTCCGGGACAATGCGTCGGCTACAACATTGTCCTTACCTTTTTTGTACTTGATGACATATGGAAAGGTCTCGATGAACTCAACCCACCTGGCATGTCTTTTGTTGAGCTTTTGTTGACCCTTAAGATGTTTGAGAGATTCATGGTCTGTGTGGATGACAAACTCCTTTGGCCAGAGATAGTGTTGCCAAGTTTGCAAGGCACGGACCAAGGCATTGAGTTCTTTGTCATAGGTTGGATAGTTGAGAGTGGCACCTCCAAGATTTTCACTAAAGAAAGCGATTGGCTTCTTATCCTGCATCAAGACAGCTCCTATGCCAATACCTGAAGCATCACACTCAATCTCAAAAGTTTTCAAGAAGTCAGGTAAAATAAGAACATGGGCGTTAGTTAGGCAATCTTTGAGAGCTTGAAACGCATCCTCTTGTGCTTTCTCCCACTTGAATCCAACTTCTTTCTTGATGACTTCAGTTAAGGGTGCGGCCAAGGTACTAAAATCACGGACAAACCGCCTATAGAACCCAGCTAGGCCATGGAAAGCTTCTGACTTCACCACTGTCTTAGGGCTGGCCATTCACGGATTGCTGCAACTTTCTCTTCATCCACCTTGACTCCATCTGCACTCACAACAAAGCCTAGAAAGACCACATTATCTGTGCAAAAAGTGCATTTCTTAAGATTGGCAAACAATTTTTCTTTTCTCAACACAGCCATAACAGATGCAAGGTGATCTAAGTGCTCATCAAGGTTCTTGCTGTAAATCAAAATGTCATCAAAATAAACCACAACAAAATGACCAATGAAGTTTCTCAAGATATGGTTCATCAGGCGCATGAATGTACTAGGTGCATTAGT